CTATATGATATGATGTGATAGTAATGTTTCAAGGGATTGGAGACAATGATAGTTAGCAAATAGTTATTGTAAATTGGAAGAAATTGTAAATTGGTAGAAATGATTAGTAACGGTGGTGGGAGAATGATAAAACCATGAATGTAGTTATAGTGGTGGTAGCTTGAACTAAAAAGTGGTTGTTGGTGTTTTATTTTATTTTTGTTTTATTTTGTTATATGTATTAATTTATTTTGGTATAAATCCTGATAATAGGTATTCTGTGTAAAATTATGGTAGTTGAAGATTGCTATAATTTTTAATTTTTTAATTACAAAATTATTATTGTTATTATATTAAAGCTGCCTGGTAATAGGTGTTTATTCTCATGGTTACATATGGAAATTATATCTGATCATATTGTTTTAAGGTATTAAATATGCTGGGGGAGTAATAAAGATTGTAGTGGATTATATGTTAATAGTGGGTGTGATGTGTAAGTGATGGTGCTGTGTGTTGGTGGTAATAATAATATTGATAGTTAATAGATATTGTAAAGTGGTAAAAGTGATTACTAATGGTGGTGCAATTATAATAATGATAGGTGCAATTATTTTAATGGTATCTTGAAATTAAATTGTGATTGTTGGTGGTTTGTCTGTTTTATCCGTTTGGTATGATAATATGATGATTTAACAAACTCACATCTATCCAACCAAATATATATATATATATATATATATATATATATATATATATATATATATATATACATACATACATATTTGGTTGTTGTAGTTCATTCTAACTATTATTTTGGCGGGAACAGTTTTTTTAATTTTTTTAATTTAAGTTTTTAACTGTTCCCGCCAAAATAATAGTTAGAATGAACTACAACAACCAACCCCAAAATTGAACAAATAGCTTTAATTAAATTCTCAAACCAAAACAAAACTGTTAAATAAGTGATATAAACAAATTTTTACTACGTTAATAAATAAATAAATAAATAAATAAAATAAGAAACAAAAATAAAAACGAGCAATATAATTTGACCCAAATAAACAAACAAACGACTTCCGGTAAAATAACCGCCATAATAGAATACCCACAATGCACCACTAACCCGTATATATATAAATAGCCGAGAAAAATAACAACATATGCGGCCTGACGATTGCATATAGCATGAAACAGACTGTCGCCTCTAAGTGTTGATTTCTATGTTCACTTTTATATATATATATATATATATATATATAGTGGGGGGAATAAATATTCGTGCACTTGAAAATTGTATTTTTATAAATGTATAAGCCTTAACTAAAACAAATTTTGATACATTTTATGTGTAAAGATATATTTTATTAAAAAGAATAGTAATAAAATTAATTAATTCTTATTCTAACAGAAATTAATGCATTTTTTTCATTTTAACATGAAAAAAGTATTCGTACAAAACAAAAAAAGGATATTAACTTAATTTAATACTTTGTACAATATCCTTTCTTGAGTTCAACAGCTACCAGTCTATTCCTGTACGTCTTAACTAATGATTTGCACACATTGAGTGGTATTTTGTCCCATTCTTCTTGGCATATTGTCTTCAAATTCTTGATTAATTTCTGTTAGAATAAGAATTAATTAAGTTTATTATTATTTTTTAATAGTATGTGTCTTTTACATAAAATGTGCTGAGATTTGTTTTATTTAAAGCTTTTACATTTATAAAAATACAATTTTCAAGTGTACGGATATTTATTTCCCTATATATATATATATATATATATATATATATATATATATATATATATATATAAAATAGTGCTCGATACAAAAGTAGACCATAAATATAATTATTTATTTAAAAATATGATTCCAACTCGCGACATAAGAGGTCTCATGTTTCAAAACAAGAGCCGAAAAATTCAATATAATTATTTGAATTAAATTGAGTTAAAGGAAGCACTGTTCCATCTTCAAGCGAAATTTTTTTGGGAATAATGTATTTCTGAAATTGTTTTAATAATTGAAATCAAAATTTCCATGGTAACAGCTAGGGCGAATTGTTTAAATTGGGTAGGCGTGTGTTGGGTGTTAATAATAAGTATCAGTATAGAGTTACTTTCATAGATGTCAAGTCAGGGTAAGGTGGGGTGTCTAAATTTGAAACGGAAGATGTATTAACCCTAGTCTGGCTATGGAGATTTATTTATTTTTTATTTTATTTTTTTATGAAAGGGATTTGTGCATATAAAAACAAAAAAAAAACAAAAAAAAACTGCCGTAACGTTTGTTTTGTGACGACTTCATAAAGGGTTATCTTTTTTAAAGGGTATTATTTACCTAACCAGTTCCTTCCTATTTTCTATATATTTTCACACACACACATATATATAAATATATATATATATATATATTTGGTTGTATAGATGTGAGTTTGTCAAATATGTTAGCTCTATCTCTGATATTGAGCGCTTTCTAATAAGTACCGCGCATATAATATATAAATAATTATACATTTATATATTTATTTATATTTATATACATTTTTCACATATATATATATATTATTTTAATATATATTATTTTAAAATATTTTTCGACTGTATATTCGATATCGAGTTATGAAATAAAAACATGTTAGCATGGTATTTATCATTCGTGTCAGTCAGCTGTTGGCTCTCACGCTGGGCAATAGAATCTTCCTGCCTATTCGTGGCAGCCAGCTATAGGCTCTAACTCTGGCCAGTACAAAATGGCCGCAAACTACAAGAAAACTGCCGTAGAAGCATGAAAAAATCGATTATTTCCACTATCGATGGGAGTTGGGAAATGCAAAGTCGGTCTTGGCCTTCCCGCTAATTTGGAGCATGTGCATGTAAATTTTGATGCAAATTCGTCGAAAATTGCGGCCGTGCATTCGTTACACACACACATCCTGCCTTAACCTTCTAAAGCGTTATTTTTAATGGATACACGTATTTGAGTAGGTGTCCGGAAAATTCGTTACTGGAAGATTCGATAACGGAAAATTCGGCAATTTTGACACGGTAAGAAATTTCGGTAACTATGAAATACAAGTCGATTGAAAATTCATTTTTTTTTTCAGGAGTGTTGATTTGGTGACTAAGCTCCGTTCTCTATATTTTTGAAATAGAAATAAGACTATATAGTTTTTGCTTTTTTTAAAAGAAATAACTACAGTGTAACCCGGATATAAGAGACCCGGATATAAGAGAAACCCGGGTATAAGAGAGATTTTCTCTGGTCCCAAATTAGAGCCTGTGTTAATGTATATAAAATAGACCAAACCCGGATATAAGAGACTTCTTCTCCAGTCCCGACAACTCTCTTTACACTGTATCTAAAACTTTATTTATTACTTTTTAATAAAATAATTTGGAAAGAAATTGCAAGAACTTAACTTTAGCTTAGATAAATCGATTTTAATTGCTTGAAAATAAAACGTTATAGTAATTAAATAAAAACATATTTTTTTAAAAATTGTATTTTACGAACCTTTTTAAATTGGTCACTGTTTAAACCACTTCTGGTTATTAACCCTTAGCATATCACCAGAAACACTCACAATAAAAGCATAACACCAACTATGTAGATGATGGTTTTATCATCTTCCAGATCTCACTCCTTGTATTATTAACCGTCATTGTAACTTTTCATATATGTTCTCTCATCAATATTTTATTGTCATGTTATTATTTGAAAATTTGTTTAAAATAGCCATACATTTGATACATTTCTCTCTTTGTTTGAAGTTTCCTTTTCTATACGTGTCCACTGTTGCCAAATGTAACCTTATTGCAACTTGCCTTTTCCGTGAACTCACTGAAACATTGAAATGTATTCCTGTAGTAAACTTTATACGTATTCATGTAAACGTAAAATTCGCTACATTTCTTGACCCATTTTAGTCAAAGGGTCTTTGTTCTATGTTCGAATCTCCGGCTGATTTTGTCATATCTTTCACACATATGACACTAGCACATTCTCTCCTCTCGGGGGGCAGAATATATATATATATAATCCGATATATATATATATATATATATATATATATATATATATATATATTTATTTTTCAACACCATCACTTGATAAGACACAGAGTGTGTTGAAACAAAATGGCTATTTTTTGTAGTGATTTTATAACATACTTATGTTATAAATTTTTTTTAAAAATAATTATATCTGCTCTACTTTGTATTGAGCACTCTTTTAAGAATAGTAATTGTTGGTTATTGGAATTCATTCCGTGTATACCAATTATATACTTTGATTTGATATATATATATATATATATATATTGGATTGCTCTGCCGATAGATAGTCAAATAAAGGCCTTAAGGTTTTGAAGATTAAGACCCGTTTATCTCCAGGTTTATTAAAGGCCAAAGGACAACACTAAAAGGGAATATAAATACATATAAGACTAGTTAGTCTGAAATACAAATACATATATATTAAACTATGGTTTTACAACAAGATGATATTTTTTTCTTATATTTTGTAGAATCTCATGAATCACATGATCCATATTAACAGTTATCTCTGTTTCTGAAATGAGGCATTGTAACTATTTACCCTCTTTACATTGTTTGGACTGATATCTTCATCTTTATCATCATAATCACGACGTTTCGAAATTACAACGTATATCATCTGAAGAAAGCCGAAGCGTACAACGGCTGAAACGTCGTGAATATGACAATAAAGATGAGGATAACAGTTCGAACAATGTAAATAGTGTAAATGATCCATATTCTTTTACTAAATTACGTGAACACCATCATAATTTTATTAAAAAATCCTTTAAATTAGATAAATGTCGGCTGGTGAAAAAACACGCTTTAAATGTGATTTCCATTTTACTCAAGAAAAAATAATAAAATATGATAAAACATTGTGACGCAACAAAATCCTCTTTTACCGTTGAAATATCACTGAAAGACTCCTCTATAAGACGAATATTTTCAATTCTTTATTAAGAAATTGAGAATATAATGGCACTACAAGAGGACAATATTAGAATATGTTTTTGCATTAGGAGTGCGAGAAGTGGCATTAAAGAACAAAAGCATGTGAAGCGTTTAGGGCCTAAGTTCCCTGGACACACCACTGCTGGTCCCGACACATCTATGGAAGTTTCAAGGTAGTTTCTACGTTCCTATTTTTCCCGTTAAATATTTCAGTTTTTAGATTATCTAAAATAATTCAAAAATATTTCACCATGAGCGCTTATATTTTCCCCTTTCAAAGTTCTCGTTAAATATCTCACCTCGAGGAAATTTTGACTTCAGTAACAAAATTAGAAAGAATTTCAATTAATTTATTAATTTTTTTCGAATTAATCTACGGACGGTGTAATAATTTTTTTTTTCTTTTTAAGAGAAAAAAAGGGGAAATTGAAGAGAGAGCGATATTTAGGCAGTCTTTTTATAAATAGAAGTCAATCATCAAACAGAAGAAATTCCTTCTCTTGTCACTGTATTTTAGGTTAGGTTTGTTATTATTATTTGGAGTTTTGTCTGAAGCAATTTCTTAAATCTCTTCCCTATCGTACTAATTTTTGCTTTTCACTAATTTGCGACATTCCATCCAATTCTACTCGATTCAACTGATAATGGCGTCTTCAAAACTAGGAATTCTTTTTGACTTGGAAATATACATACGCAGGGGTGCTTGAAAATTTATCAGTTCGATTCCTTTCCTAAAATATCATCATCTAATCAAAGATTAAAATCTTTGTTTTTTTTTAATGTTTTCAAGGCCAGAACTAAAACTTTTCAGCGATCGTCGTAATAATTAAAAAATATCCAAGTGAGGATAAACGACTTTGGAATCTCTTGTAATATACACGGAATGAGAAATCGGAGAACCAAGTTCGAAGTCCAGCTTCATTACAATCAGTTACGGGCAAATCCCCTTGGGAAAAGGTATAAATCCGCTCCCATTCGCAACTGGCTCCTATAACCTGATCGTCCAGGCGTCGATCACGTACGGCATTTAACAGATTGACATGTGCGAAGCACAACTGAATTACATCATTTCGGATTATTTCTTATCGATTGGCAATTCACTTTTTTCCATTTGAAGCTTCTTTCTTTTTTGGGGGGAGGTGGGTATTTCTATCCTTTCATCATTTCTAACTTTCATTCGCTCCTCACCCCCAATTCTGTCTTTCGTTTGCTTCTCTCCCCCTCACTTCTGGCTTTCATTTGCTTTTCTCCCTACACGTTCACTTCTCTCCTCCCTCACCACACCGTCCGCCCCCCCTACTTCTAAATTTTCGTTCGCTTCTTTCTCCCCCTTCCGGATTTCAATTCGTTTGTCTCTCTTCCGCTTTCGTTCGCCTCTCTCTCTCTCTCTCTCTCTCTCACACACACACACACACACACTTCTGGCTTTCGTTCACTATATTATTTATTCTTTATGGTTTTCGATCAAATCTTTTACTTATTTACTAAGCTTGACTTAGTTTTGTTAAAAATCTATTGAGAAAGGGACACCCAGTGAGGATGGAGCGTATTATTCAGAAGTAACAATACCAATGACCACTTTGCTAATCAAAACATTACACCACAATGGGGTGCTTATCAAGTACTTTCTTTTAACCTCAATTTAATTACACATACATACCTTCTCTATCTTACACTCTTTCAAATACTTTTTCAATCTTTTTTTCTTCTTGATTCATTTTAACGTTTCTTTCGTTCAAGATTTGTTTTTCTGCTTTTATTCTCGATTTTTTTCGCTTGCATTTTTTTTTTTTTTTTCATTTCCTTCATTTCTTTCCTATTCGATAAATATGATTTCTTTGACTCTTCTCCCCCTCACTCTTTCAACTCCTTCTTGGCTGTTTTTTGTTTTTCGGGTCATTTCATCGAATTGGCATGTAGAAAAGGTTTTATATTTTCATTGTTCTTCACTGATTCTACGTCAGTACTTAGAATCCATTTTAATATTTTCTCTCGTTTTTCTCGCCGCTTTTCTCTCTTTCTCCCACCGTCTCTCTCTCTCTCTCTCTCTCCCACCCTCCCTCTTTCTCCATCATTTCTCTCTCTTACTGTTTCATTTGTTCTTTCTTTCACTCTTATTCTCTCTCTGTTTCTTGTTTCTTTTATTTCTCCCCACCCCCAACATAACTTCCAGCAACATCCCCCTACCCCCGCTTTAATAACACTGTCTCCACTCGCGACCTGAATTTATTCTTAAATCGGACTCCTCGGGGAAATTTAAAAAACACAAAATATTCTATTTATATTTTTATCTATATGAAATATCAGAAATTTTCAGCCTTCTGCACACAATAATCTTCGGTTGCTGAAGTCAACGAATGTATCTGATAGAAACTGTCAAAAACGCCTCTCCCTACACACCAGATGATTTCTGTCCGAATTTTTATCACTATGACAACGACTCGTGCCGATGCTTTCTTCACTGTCTTATTCACGAGGGGAGTGAAGGCCTAGATTTTCTTCTCCCTTTTTTTCTTCTTGTTTTCACTTCGATTTAAAATTGAAATTAAAAAGCATTGATTCAGTGCAAAAGAGTTTGTTTTTGTCAGCTAATGAGGTACAATCCTAATTCAGTTACGAAACGCTTCATTTTCAGTAGTTGACACAGATAAAGGGCTGCTGAAAATTCTTGATCGCTAAGCCCTAACAAAATAACTTCATAATTAATCATTTGGTCAGATTTTGAGGAATTGGTCGGGTCAACAAATTTTCACCAATCTCTTGTCAAGCTATTGCGTGAAGCGAACTAATTTTTCTCATCAAATGACCATTGAATACTAGTCGTAAAGCAAGAATATAATAATTTTCAAACATTCTTCAGTGTTGTTTTATCCTTTGGTACTATAAAACTGCTTCTAATAATTGTCACGATAGATTTAATAACGTTCTTCCCATGCCTCAATGCTGAGTAAGTTTTCTTCATGTATGACTTTGACTTACCGTCATGCAAGTCGTTAGACACCGGGTTTCCATTTTAGTGTAAATCGAAAGTGTGGAACGAATAAACAAAAATTTAAGTCGGCTTGAAGGTGGATCTGTAGTGGTGCTGTAAGTTGGCAAGGGTCACCGTGAATATAATAAAGAAGGAAGGCTGTGTTCTTGTAAAACAACACCCCACATGAATAATGCACAACAAACACGAGAGAAAAATAATCAAGCTCAGTGAACATTAATAAAATATTGTATTAACAATGATATACAAATATCAACAATAGTATATAAGAAAGTTGCTTCCTTCTTCCGTAATAAAAGGGTAAGTTTAGCTAATTAATGTTGAGTACAATATTGAATGTTATTTAACTACAAAGTTCAATTGAAGTCTTAGCTAAATAAAGAATAGTTCCACAGTGTTTTATCAGTGTAGAAAAATGTAATGTTCATGAGTGATATCAATAGGAATTAGTATGATTACTCGATTGAGTAATAATTAAGAATTAAAATGTCAATATAGCGCCGTGCCTTATTTTCCAAGAATTGAACTGCTATTGACTGTTGGCAGAGAGAGTCTTTTTATAACGATGGATAGGCTCCAGCGAGCTTGGCGCTAAAAAATATAGAAAGATACTAAAATACACGATTGGTCAGGAAATGGACCAATCCGTGATTTTAGAGAAAATTTCAAATTACCTGCGATGGCAAAATTGTCATATGATAAGTATCATATTTTTACGAACCAATGATATTGAAGGAAATGGAGGTGTGGCATGTAAGTGATCCCCACAATACCCCGTCAAGATTGAAAAGTCAGGGAAGAAAGAGTTTTCAATATGTAATGAAAGTTCTGAACTTCTTAGGCCAGTGGACGGTACGTCCGCTAGCAGTCCTAGTAGGTGCTGGTGACGAAAGCTGAGGGCTGTCTAGCGAAGAGCTCGTAGGTTGATTTGTTGATCCATCGCGTTCAATACATGCAGGTTTTAAGCGATCGATAGAGAAAGTCGATCGGCCGTGGTTAGTCTGTAAAGTATAATATTTATATCGGTCCGGGCAAGAACACGAAATGGACCCGCATAATGTGGTGTCAGTGGCTTTCTAACAGAATCCTGTTGTACAAAAACGTACTCGCATTCCAGTAAGGAAGGAGGTGCATAAACGTCACGTGAAGTGTAACGGGTTGGAGTAAAAGGCAAGGGATGATGCTCAATATGTAGTGACGAATTTCAAAGTGAGTCGAGCAAAGTTATCTCCCGTACTTGTTCATCCGCGATTTTTTTCATGTCTAAAGTATCTTGCAGGCTTCCACACAAGGATGCTCTGGAAAGTGTATCGGCAGCAATATTATCCTTTCCTTTAATGTGACGTATATCCGATGTAAACTGAGATATATAATCAAGATATCTGTAGTCTCGAGGATTGTACTTGTCTGATTTAGTTGAAAGGGCAAAAGTGAGGGGCTTGTGATCGGTGTAGATCACAAAGTGTCTACCCTCTAAAAGGTGTTTAAAATACTTAATTGACAAGTATATAGCTAAAGTTCCCTTGAAAAGGTACTATACTTCTTCTGTGTGGACGTCAACTTAACGGAGAAGAAGGAAATTGGCAAAGATTTAGCGTCAACATGTTGGTGTAAAACTGCGCCTATGGCGTCAGAAGATACGTCAGTCGTTAATGATAACTGAGTGGTAACACTGTCAGTGAGGCATGAAAGTTTCGTAAAGTTGACCAATGCTTTACAAGAGTTGCCAAATGCTTGCGTTGCGTCGTTGTTCCAACAAATAGGAGTATTTTTACGGTCTTGCCCGCGAAGGATATTCGTCAAGGGTGCAAGAATTTGTGAACAACGTGGGATGAATTGACGATAATAATTGATTAAGCCAATGTATCTGCGAAGCTGTCGAAGCGTGGAGGGCTTCGGAATTTCCTGGATAGCACGTATCCTTTCAGGTAGGGGAGTAATACCTGTAACTTCAATGGCGAAACCGAGAAAGTGGAGTTGCGAAACGGCAAACTCGCACTTCTCTGGGTTGATTTTTAAACCAAAGTTCTGAAGACAATCAAAGACTTGCTGAATATGTTTACGATGCTCCTGTAAATTAGGGCTAGCTATTAGAAGATCATCAATGTATGCGAAAGTGAAAGGTAGTTCACGAAGTACCTCATCTATAAGGCGTTGGAATGATTGAGCTGCGTTACGCAGTCCAAAAGGCATACGCAGAAATTCAAATAAACCAAACGGCGTGGTAATCGCAGTTTTGGGAATATCTTCGTCAGCGACTGGGATCTGATGAAAGGCTTTGCGCAGATCCAGTTTGGTGAAGACAGTTGCTCCCTGTAAGGTAACAGCAAAGTAGGTCAAATTGGGAAGTGGGTACTTATCGGGTACCGTTTGTGAATTAAGTCGTCTATAGTCGCCACACGGCCACCAGGCGCCCTGCTGAACCTTAGTGACCATGTGAAGTGGTGAAGCATATGGACTCGAGGATGGGCGAATAATCCCGAGGTCGAGCATGTGTTGGAACTCGGCCCGGGCAATCTTGTATTTATCCGGCGCAAGACGGCGAGGTTTAGAATAAACAGGCTGTTCGGTAGTTCGAATCCAGTGTACAGTGCTGTGCTTGTCAGGCTCTGTCTAAGTAAAAGGTTGTATCAACGAGGGAAATTTATCCAAAATATCTTGAATCGGATTATCACGCGGCACAGCGAGGCGTAATTCTGTAGATGTTAGCTGTGATACAATTCCGCGGTTAGATAGCTTCGTGGTGGAGTCAGATAACTGACGCTGTGAGAGGTCCACAATGAGTTGATAATGTGCCAAAAAGTCGGCGCCTAAAATGGGGAATTTCACGTCTGCAACAGTGAATATCCATTGATATGCCCTTCTAAGTCCAATATCTAGTGTTAATGATTGTTCGCCAAAAGTCTTGATATTCGTGCCATTATCGGCGCGTAAAGTGACTGAAGAGTTAGTCTTAGTGAAGTTGGGTGATGGTGGAACAACGCTAAGCTGTGCTCCCGTATCTATTAGGAATGACATGTTAGAATTCCTGTCTTTTATATAGAAGAGACGGTTAGTAATATGTGCCCCAACAGTAGATGCCGCCTTCAAGTGCTGCTGGGATCGGCGTTTCCCGCCTTCCGTAATGCTTTGGGTGAAGGTTGGCACTTGAAGGTACACGGTTTAATGCATCTGTGAGCTCTATCACCGAAGTTAAGATGGTACCAGCATAGCGTGGGCCGGCGAGCGCGAGTAGCAGAATGAGAGCGTCGGCGTACCTTGTATGAGTTTTTATCCTCTGGTCTGGTAAGATGCTGCACCTGGGTGGAAAGCCTCTCGAGTTGCTGTTTTAGCTGTTCTATTACATCCATCATAGCAGCGTCAGTGGGTACAGGGGAGTCCACGCTGCTGATGCTGGGTACGTCATTAATTTTATCAGCGATCTCAGCAATTCTCGAAAGATCTAAGTCATCGGGAAGCGTAGCCAGAATCTGTGAAGTGTATGACGGTAACTTGTCCAGCCAAAGTTAGCGGAATAGTGATTCCGACATCGAGTTCTTTCCTAACAGACTCTTCATTCGTCTGAGTAACTGCGACGAGCTGTATAGTATTAAATAGATCGTGCAACCTGCGCTCATGCGATTTTCCAGTACGGTAGATGATGGCTTCCTTTAGTACATCAAAGGGGTTATGAGCGGAAACGGCTTCTAGAAGGTCTAGCACGTCAGCAGCGATCTCTGGTGGTAGGTTCTCGACTATGTATGCGTAATGCGCAGTCTGAGAGTGAATATGCTTTGCTTGGAATATGGCTTCAGTCTGGGCGAACCACACGTTTACATTAGCCATGTCGAAAGTTGGGAGAGTCAGCACAACGGCTGTCTCTTGTGCGGAGTGTTCAGCCATTATGATTAAGCACGTGGTGTTTTGGCGCGAAGTAATATCTCTCGATAAACTGGATCGGTAAGTCGTCCAAATGTAGTAGTATTTACGGTCCTACGACGAACGTCAGGTTTATCAATTGTAGTGCAGAATTTAGTTCCAACGCCAGGTTTACCACTCGTAGTTCCTACGTCGAACGTCGGGTTTACCAATCGTAGTAGGTACGTCGGGGTTACCAAATGTAGTGGTGCTGTAAGTTGGCTAGGGTCACCGTGAATATAATAAAGAAGGAAGGCTGTGTTCTTGTAAAACAACACCCCACATGAATAATGCACAACAAACACGAGA